AAGAAAGAAAGAAAGAAAGAAAGAAAGAAAGAAAGAAAGAAAGAAAGAAAGAAAGAAAGAAAGAAAGAAAGAAAGAAAGAAAGAAAAAAGTTGTTTCTGAGGGTTTGTCTGTCCAAGTGGAATATTGATGTTTGGTAATTTCCAATATCTGTTAAGAAGTGTGTACCCAAGAAAGGGGAATAACAGTCAAGTAAAGATTAGGCTTAGTCAATTTCTTTTGAAAATATAACTTTGATTTTTAATTTTTTACATGTATTTATTCATTCATTCATTTATTATATGTGTTTTTTGTGGGTGACAGGGGCACATGATTACAACTTGAAGGACTCAGTTCTACTATATTGGTCGTGGGTATCAAACTCAGATCATTAGTATTGTCAGCAAATACCTTTCCCTTCTGAGTCATCTTGCAATTCTGTGTTGTTATAAATACTGTCATTTTATTAAACTTTTCTTTGTACTTTGTTTAAATGTTTGGGTTTTCAGCAGAACCAAACTTATATGTGACATCTGAAGAAGAACAGAACCGGGATGACAGCAGCAATAGCAGTCAGTCATCGGTGAGTAATTTTTCAATTTAAGATTCTCATTTAATATGCTTTGTTTAATAATGTAGCATAGACCAAATGGAATAATATTTTCTACTTCACTGAAGAATCTATAGAGATAATGTTTAATATTCAATTTGAAAAATGCTGTAATATATATAAAAATTACAATACTCATAAAAATTTTAAGAAGTTTTTCTTTTGAAGTGAGGGAAAATTTTTTGAATTTTTGCATCCTATGTACATGCATCCTTCCATGGTAAAGAAATATCATATTTGGATCTTATTAATTGACATTGTGAACAATGTAACCGATAGTGACTTAGTTTTGTTTATGGTTTGAGTAATCATTCCTATCAGGTCAAATTGTACAGATTCCTATTAACATTCAGTATCTGTAATGTCAAAAATGTAGTTTTTCCTTCTTGTCAGCAGCTGACTTCAATATTTATACTATAAGAGAGTACTGAGTATAAGATCAACTCAGCTATCGAGGAAAAAAAATAAATGACACTTTCCAGAAAGGGACAGTTGATATTTGGATATAAAGAATGGCATTCCAATGCATTTCATTTCAGTGTAGAAATTTGGGAATTTGTATCCAACTGTTGTAATCTGCTAACTGGAGTAAATACAAGTATATATTATATTGAACTCATACGAATACTCATATTGGTACAAAAAACCATCATAGCATATAATTTGAATTACGATGTAGGAATTTGATTTTCTTTGAGACTGAATTGACTTTGGTTCCTAAATATTTTAAAATTTGCCTATTCTCCATTTATATAACTTTGGATGAATGGTTTAAATTCACTATAAATGCTCACTACATAAGACATTGTATAGTGATTTTTTTTTTTTATGAGAGAACCCTGTATGGTGTTAAAGTCACATAACTTGATTTTGGTAAATTTCACACAATGAATTAAGTTCATTCAAAAATTGTGAACAGTTAAGATTGCTGTTCATGTTTTAATTTGGACTTAGGCTAAGGTAAATTTCCCTTTTATTTCAGAGTTTTTATCAGTGTTTGGGGAGCAGATGAAAAATACAATATGAAGCTTAAAAGTTGAATTTCATTTAGTTTCCTAGTTTTTCTTTTTCCATAGCCATGATAAGGCTAAATTTATTTTATTTTAAATTAATTGTAAATTTAGCTTTTTTAAAACTTACCCTGACAATGTACTTAAGAGTCAAATCAAACTGATGTTTATAATTCCATCTTCAAAAAGAAAATTTCCCAAAAGCTAGAACTAACTAAGGATTGTGATAGAGGTAATGTCTACACATCTAGCTGTTCCTCAGATGTAAAATGTTGTAGTGTAGAACTATTCATCAAACAAGGACAATTAAAATGGAAAATAATCACATATTCACTAGAAGAGAATGAGCATGAAAATCCACATACACTGTATTCCTGGATCATCTTCAGGCTTTTTATTTGTCTTCCAAGAAGTATATTAAATGGGCTATTAATTTAGATTAAAACAATTATTTGTTACCAGAACCACACAATATCACATTCTCTAAACTGACTCTTTAACATGAAATGAAATCTTGCTAGTAAAGCAAAAGAGGACACGAACGTCTTTTTTTTTTTTTAACATCCCAATCACAGTTTCCCCTCCCTCCTCTCCTCTCATTCCCTCCCTCCCTCCCTCCACTCCTCCACCCCAATTCACTCCTCCTCCGTTTCTGTTCAGAAGTGGGCAGGCCTCCCACAGTATCAACAAAGCATGGCAGACCAAGTTGCAGTACGACCAAGCACCCCCTTGTATTAAGGCTGGGCAAGGCAACCCAGTCGGAGGAATAGGTTCCCAAGAGCCAGTCAACACATTAGGGACAGTCCCTGCTCCCATTGTTAGGAGTCCCACAAATAGACCAAGCTACACAACTGTCACACATACACACGTCTTTTTACACAGATGTGTCTTACAGACAGTAAACACTTTACATAGAAAACAATGACTCAAAAGAAAACCACGAGATGAAAAATACTTTAATGACAATATTGAACTACACACAGAAACGGGTCTTGTTAGTTAAAACGGTGGAAACAGAACCGAGCTCAGTGACAAAGTTGGTGAAACAATGTTATTTTTATTTTAAAAAAGCATCAGAATTCTTAGTAGCAAACTTCTGTTGCAGCTTAAACGGAAGAAGAAGAAGACAGGGTGCAGCCCCAAGATGGACACAGTGGAAAAACCACCTCGTGGTAACATTGCGGCAGCTGCTTTTGCTGTGGGGGGTGGTGCTGACGTAGCTGCTGCCATTTCTGATAATGGTGGTAGAAATGGATTCGCCCTGCAAAAGCATTGTGGGAAGTCTGGTAACCATGAACTTCCTGTTACAACAAAAAAGCATGTTGGGTAAGTATGGTAATATTTAACAGTGTATCACTGCTTTTGTCCTAAGAAACTAATTCTCGCTTGGCCTGGCGTTCATACTTAACAGATCTCATGCTGTTACTAAGGATGTTCAGTCTTGTACCGACATCAAAAGAATGTGGTGAGATACCATTGTTCTACACTATCCTGAGGACTGTTTGGTTAGAAAGATAACGGCAGGGCTCTAAGATGTGAGGAAAATGGTTTTCTGCCGCAGTGTTGTTAATGGAAGTTGACAAACACTTTTGGAAGGATAAATTTGTAGCAGGCATCCCTGTTTCTTTCACAATAGCTTTTATACCCACAGCTTAACTTCCACAATGAGGTCCTTTGTGGGTACATAAGAACAAAGATTCTACTTTAAGAGTCACAAGTTTGGGTGTCAAGTTGACAAGGGATGGGGTGGTCAAAGCTATATTGTCAACTTGACAGGATGTGTAGTATCAAAGAGACAAAGCCCTACGGGCCTGTTTGGGAACAGTTATGTAGATTAGGTTAGCAGAAGCCCACCATTACTGTAGGCAGCATTGTCCAATGGGCTGGAGGGGAGAAAGTGAGCTGCTGTGAATGCTTGATCAACCCTAAATCCTTCTCCCCCTAACTAACTTGTTAGGTACCTTATCATAGCAAGAAGGGAAGAGACTTACACAATGTTCTAAACCACCGAGGGATGTTATTATTATTATTATTATTTTGTAAACCAGACAGTAAACATTTTAGTGTTTGTTGGCATTAAATTGTTGGTTGCTATAGTTCAAAATCAGCTAGAGATAACAACTGAATAATGTGGATAATTTTTTTTAATCACAGTATATTTAAGTGTCAGAATATAGTTCAGTGGTACAATGCTTAGGTCACATGAGGCTGCCCTTTGTTCAAATACCCAGCACCACAAGGAATGATGGACAGAAAAAAGAAAAAAACTTCAGGCAAACAAATGGTTAAATGCAGCCCACAGAGACTAATTTAGTGACATTTTGGCTAAGTACAAGATACTACTAATACAGTGAATTTTGTGTTTATTGTAACTCTATATACATTTATTAACATTTTGTTATGGAGCACATTATATTTCCACAGTGTTTTCATATATATTTAAATAAGCTCAGTTTGTAAATTTAATCTATTTTATGCAGTTTTATTCTTACTATAGAATTCATATTTTAATATAAATAATTACTTTGTATACTTATAGTTGCTTAATGGAAAGTGCCCCAGAATTATATACCTTTTTTAATGTATACTTTTTACTTTTTTTGAGATTTTCATACACGAGTGCTGTATTTACATTATTTCCACTCCTCCTTCTCCCCACTCCAACTCCTCCGATGTTTCCCAACTCCTCAAATTCATGACTTCTTCATGTCTATTATATATATATATATATATATATATATATATATATATATATATACTGCTGATTCCATCTAGTATTGTTCACATGTACATGTGTTTATAGTTGACCATTTGGGATTGGATAGCCTATCAAGGAAGTTGTCCTGGAAGGAATTGATTCTCTCTCTCTCATCAGTCATTGATTGGCTGTAGCCCCTCAGCTAGGCATAGTGCCCTGTGAAATACCCACTCCATTCACATTGGCATGTCGACTGCTGTGGTCATTATGCAGGTCTGGTTTAGGCAACCTTATTGAAATATCATGTATGTAGTTTCCAAGACGTGTAGAAAACACGGTCTCACGGCTGGCAACTCATCCTCTTTATCTTACAATCTTCCTGCCCCCTCTTCCTCTTCTAAGTTTTCCCTAAGCCTTAGATGTAAGGGTTGCACTGTAGATACATCAGTTGGGGTGGTCACCTATTTTAGTGAGGGCTTTTCCTACCAAAGTGCCTCCCACAATCCGGGTGGCCTTTCCACACCAGTCAAGGCAATCAGGACACCTCCTCAGGCGAGGCTCCCTACTCAGTTGAGTCTAATTTGTGGCAAGTTGAGATTAAAACCATCCATAACAGCACCCTATCATCTCTTAACTTTCTGCATTTGGCCAGTTATGGATCTCTGCAGTAAGCTCTGTCTGCCAAAAAAGAAGATTCTGTAATGAGGGATGACAGCTGCACTTCTCTGTGCTATAAATATTTAGAATCTATTAGAAAATATATTAGTTTAGGAAAGTGGCAGTCGTAGGTTCTCCTTTAGAATCTAAAACCTCTCTGGCCAGGAATAGTTCACGAGGTTTACAATACCAGGCATGGATTGCCTCCTATTGAGCAGGCCTTAAATCCAACTAGACAGCTGTTTGTAAACCTCAGTGTAAACACATTAGAGATGTCTTGCTGAAGACACTACATACTTAAGTCATAAAACATGGAGAAGTCAAGTCGATACTGATTCATCCCTATTGGCTAGCTTTCATAATGTTGGAAGGCTCTATTCACACTACCCAAATGGAAAAGTAATCATTAATTTTATCAAGCTGCAAGCCACATGAGCTACAACAACAATGACTGTCATAGCAAGGTAAGCTCATTGGTTCAATTGTGGCCCTGATGTCATGGGAATAACCAAACTCATTCCATTTGGATTTAAGGTCTGCTGCATGAAATAAAACCCATGCTTGGCACCATTACTGGGACCAAGAACTTATGGGATGGACACATTAGAGGCCCTAGAGGAGAACCTATCACTATTATTCTGCTAAATGGATAAGCTATTACACTGACACTAACTAATGAATTATCACCATACCTGTTGATTAGTGTATCCCTCAGTCATCATCAGGAAAGCCTTTTCTTGCCGTACATGTCGTTAAAACAGAGATTCACAAATTGTCAGTGTGCAGAGAATATGAGATCATGGAGTGCTCAGCTCTACCTGGAACATCTATATCATACCCCTTCCCCTAAGACTCGGGTGCAGAGAATAAGAGACTACAGAATGCTCAGCCCTCATATATATATATATATATATATATATATATATATATATATATATATGTGTGTGTGTGTGTGTGTGTGTGTGTGTGTGTGTGTGTGTGTGTGTGTGTATGTATGTATATATTGCATCCCATTCTCCCAAGGCCAGGGATTGTTATGAAAGAGAAGGTGAAGAGATAACAGAATAATATGGTCAGCTTCAACAGCATTAAAACGGTCATTATAAAAGAAAAACTGTGTTCCCAAGACATTTCTCTGCCTTTTTATTTTATGGTACAAGTTTTCTGTGATTTTAATTATTTCATCTAAGTCCAGTATTACTATAATCCAAAGCAAAACAAAAATTGTACCACAGATTGAATTATTAATCTTGTTTTCTTAATGTCATTTCCCAAAAGCAGTGAACTCTGACCTTTTAGCATAGCCTTCAAGCCTAGGGTAGGGTTAATCTCCACTTGTTTCTGAGTATGCTCCTTTCAGTTCCAAGTTCCTGGAAACACGTCGGTGCCATAAAGTTCTGCTTCCATTTTGTTCTCTGAGTAGAATCATTTTCTTGGGTTTTCGTTTGCTTTCTTGTTTGTTTTTGTATGGCTCCTCTTTTCCATGCTGCTCTTCTAGACTTCTTTGCTCAGGCATAACTTTCACATGCTTTCTCAGATGTCATCTTGACAATTAGCTATTCATTCTGAATTGGCTCGGAAATGCAATAATCTAATATAACTGTACATTAAAATTATCTAAACTGTCATGCACTGTGTTTTAAATTTTTTATGTAATAAAAATATGCAAATGCATGAGTCATAGTAAATACATCCTAATAATCCATTTATTCCTTTGCCAGAATCATCATAGCTATGTTTCTACCATTTCATAGGCTATTGCAAAATATCATACATGTCAGTCTAATAGCCATTTACTTTCTGATTAAAAGATAAAGAACTCATAATTGTTTAATGGAAAAGTCATGTAGCATAGGTGACTTATTTCCTTTTATTAATTGTTTTATTGGCATACATCATATATTCCATGTATGCCTATTAATGCAGGCATAAGTAGTTGAACAGACAAATACACTTGTTTAGAAATGTCTTTAGAAACATAAACCATTTATTGAATTAAATTTCCAAAATTGCCTATATATCTAGTCTTTTTAAATTTTTTAAATATTTGGAAAGCGGAAAATTACTTACAATTATAACCAGAAATGCAACAATAGTATAAATTTACCTACCATTGTTTCAACTGAAATGTTTGAAGACAGATACAGTGTTCACAAATAATAAGGAACGTGTGCAGCCAGCACTCCTGGGTTTGAGATGCTCTGCCACTGACAAGCTTTGTGCACTTAGTGAGGTGCCGTGGTCTTCCTTCTCCTAGTCCTTTCATCGATAAAATACTGGCGTTTGCTGCCCATAATTGTTATGAGAATTAAACTGAATTTAAGGGCAGTGGAGGTCCCAAACAAGCTCACTCCTATCTTCACTATGAGAGGATTGAACTTCTTGGAGAAATTACATATTATTCTTCAATAGGGGTTAACATCCATAAAGATTCATTTTTATAGAAAGTGACATTAACAAAAGTCTACGTATTTCTTTCCATAAAATAATACTAGTAATATCATAAATTCTTGTGGCATTCACTGTCAGAAAGTTTGCTCAGAATTTAATTATCTGGATACTTTTAGTGATGTCTTTTTTTTCCTTAATGTTACTTTCTATTTTAACTGAACTTCCCTTATGGACACTTATCATATTTGAAATAATTTATGAATTTTTTAGTAGGACAAATCACAAATGCATGGGTTTTCTATAAATATAATAGTTCTCAATGTTATCTGTGCTTTTCATATTTAAATATTGAGCAGAAACTTCTGTCTTCTTTGTAGGCTGAATAAGAAAACATGTGATGAAAAGAACAAGGTACTGTAAAAATAAATTTAAAACAGTATTTTACTGAAAATAATTTACAAAGGAAGTGATACGTTATGAAATATGTGTGAAATACATCATAAAGACTAAAGTGAAAAGATCTAGAACTTTTTGTTTTCTGTTGAAATTTATATCAAAGCAGTGAGTAACAAAGACTAGCCATTGATAATCTTTTGAAAACTCTGTTCCCTTCATACCTACAAAAAATTCTAATCATAAAGATGTGTAGCTAATATATTATGCATTTACCATATAGTATAAGCATTTGAGGATGTTCCTGATATTGTATGGTTTATTTTGAAGGCTGTAGAACACATGGATGCCATCGATGATCACCAGTTATCCGAATCAGTCTCTGAGAATGATGATTTGCCTGATTATGACAATATATTGATGATAGTTGACCAACTTCAAATGAACTATAAAGGTAAGACCCCCGCATAAATGTAATGCTTTAGTATTAATGCTGAGGCAATCTTAAAGTCAGAATTTGGGCTTGTACATAGAGGACTTTTAGCTGTCTAGATTTTTGGTGAGACATAAAAATGAAGGTTAACCTGCTATTTTCTCTGCACATTTTTGAAGAGGTTGACTTTTCACTAAGTCATATTTTGGAACCTGTATTAGAAGTAAGGAGTCTATATCAGGTTGGGGCCATTTCTGGAACATTTCCTATTCTTTCTATTGTGTGTTCTGTTGTGAAAGTTGCTATGGCTCTGTAGCATAACTAGAAGTCAGCATTAACACTGCTCCTCGGGATTACTTTGGCCTTCTGAATTCTAACTTTTTTTTTCTCATTCTGTTAAAAATTTCATTAAGATTTAGGAAAAGACTGTACTATTTTATAAGTCATTTCCAGAAATATATCTGTTTTATAAAGTAAATTCTAATATTCATTTGTGGAGTAAGGCTTACAGCCAATCAGAGAGTGGTTGGTTACTCCCATGGTATAAATCCATGCCACTAATGCACAGCTGAGCAAAACTTAGCGGGCCAGGTGCTGTTTGTAGCTCTCAGCATTCGCAGCTGGGTAAGATTGGTGATTTTCTCCTCTGGAAGCATGCATGTTACCTTCCAGCACTATGAAAGCTAGCCAGTAGGGATTAATCTATCAGACTAGTAACAACTTAATGTGCCTAAACTCTATGACTCAACTACACGGAGTCTTCAGCAATAGGGTCTTACTGCCAAAGTCTTCAGGACAATCATAGCATTGGCAATAACTTGTAATGGTTTGTGGACTGTGGGACTTCACTGGCCAATAGTTCCAAAAGAGTGAATCCATTCCTGTCACTGGGCTTCTTATTTGTTAACCTGCAGTCTAGTAGGGGCACTGTTGTTCTGTTTAAAGGTAACTCCATTTTAACACATTCTCTCTTTCTCTCACTCTCCCCTAGTCCCCCCCCACACACACACATGTGTATGTATATATGTATGTATGTATGTATGTATATGTGTATGTATGTATATATGTATGTATGTATATGTACACATATGCATGTGTGTGTTAAGCTTCTATAGTGGCAGATATTTCCCTATGAAATTTTAATAATGTCTAGTGCTTTTATTTACTCCCTATATATATCCTTCTCATTCCCCATCCTAATTTAACCTTTCCAGTTTCCATTAATCCTCTTTACCCCTTGATACCTCTGCTTTCTATCTGCTCACCTTGAAGGATCCTCCACCCACCATGGCTCCTCAGTAATCTCTTGACTTCTCTGGGCATTCCAAATGAAATATATATATTTGAAGATTCAAAGCCAATATTTATAAATGGGAGAACTGTATTTGTAAGTCTGGGTTACCTTACTCAGAGTGATTGTTTCCAACTCCATCTATTTACTTATGTATTGCATAATTTTGTTTTTCTTACTAGTTGAACAATACACTATTTACCACATTTTGATTATTTATTAATTAGTTGATGGGCATCTTTCCATTTCCTGGCTATTGTGAATAAACAGCAATGAACATTGATAATACCATATCTCTATAGTGGGATTTAGAATATGAGTATGTGCCAAGAATGGTATAGCTGGATCATGTGGGAGACCTAATTTTAATTTTTTGAGGAACTTTCATGCTGATTTCCATAACGGCTACATCACTTTGCATTCATCCCAGCAGTAAATAAGTGTTCCCTCCCCTCATATTGATGCCAGCATTTGTCATAACTTATTTTTTTATTTTAGCCATTCTGAGTGAAGTAAGATGAAATCTCAAAGTAGTTTTAATTTGTATTTCTCTGATGGCTAAGGATGTTGAAAATTCTTAAATATTCATTAGCCTTTTGTATTTCATCTTTTAAGAACTAATTTTTGTTCAGTTTTATTTTATGTATGTCTGTGTTCTGCCTGTGTGTGCATCTGTGCCTCACATTCATGCATTGTGCCCACAAAGGCCAGAAAAGGGCACTGGATTCCCTGGAACTGGAGTTACACACTGTCGCCAGTTGCTACATGGGTGCTGGGACTTGAACCTGGGATCCTTGAAAGAGCAGCAAATGTCTTAACCACTGACCCATCTCTCCAGCCCTATGCCCAATTTTTCACTTGGGTTGTTGGTTTTCTTGAATTTTTTTAGTTCTTTATATGTTCTAGATACTAACAATTTGTCAATTATATAACTGGTAAGCATTTTTCCCATCCACTGGGATCCTTCTTTGCTCAAGAGATAGTATCTTTTGCTGTACAGAACCTTTTTTGGCTTTTTAGGTCCTATTTATTAATTTTGATTTTTTTAATGTCTGAGCTATCATAGTTCTGTTCAGAAAAGTCCTTTATGTCAGTAAGTTCAAGCATATCCCCTATTTTCATCTGTATCAGATTCAGGGTATCAGATCTTACGTTGAGATCTTGATCCATTTGGAGTTGAATGTTGTACAGAGATGAAGATCAAGTTTCACTCCTCTAAGTGCAGTTATCCTGTTTGATCAGCACCAGTTTATTCTTACATGTTGGCCTGCATAACTTCTCATGCCAAGGAACCTAGACATTAGTAAGGAGATTTATTTGCATTAGTAAAGAGATAAACATTCTCCATGCCTGAAGCACATTGTCTCATAATTTATTGGATATATTTTGCTTGTTTTCACTTTTCAGTATTTTTGTTTATTCCTTCATGATTTCATGCATGTGTATAATGTATATTTTGTAATGTATAATGTTACCTCCTTTACACTCCTTTGTCCTTCCCCAACTTCCTCTGAACCTCTACTCCCAACAAGTTTCCTATCTATTTTCATGTCCTTTTTATAAGATCTAATACTTTTAATTAGGTTTGCCTAAATGAACATGGATGTGGGGGTTACTTACTAAAGCATGGGGCAACAGAAAATTCCTCCCTTCCACCAGCAGGACCACATAAGTTCCTTCCTCACCCATAATCAAATGTTGCCATACTCAATCTTGTGCGAATCTTTGCAGGTAACCACAGCTGCTGTGAATTCCTGACTACAATGGGCATTTAACATCACAGCCCTAGTCCCCATATTTCAGCTCTCACATTCTTTGTAGTATTTTATTTTTGTGTGTAACAGCACTCTAATCAGAGTCTATTTCTCCTCCTTACCCAGAAGGATATTGCAACAAAGTCCAAGCCCACTGTCTAGATTGGCTAGGATCTTCTTCACCTTCTGAACAGACGTTTACTACTCATACTCTGATTCCTAGTTTGGCAGTCTCTTCCTGTGGGAAATCTTCCTGGGCATAATGCAAAAAGATACTCTGTGGAACCCCAGGACTCTGCTTGGGTATAACATCCATCTGAATGGATGGTCATAATGGTCATTTTATCTGTCTTCTCCATCAGATTTAAGCTAAATAAAAGCAGTTGATCAGTCAGCTTTATTTGAAAATCTTAGTATAATGCATGCCAGACAGTAGTCATTCAGTATGTCTTTGTTTATCTTGAATGACAGAATATGAAAATGTACAAACTTTTGTGTACAGAAATTGCTCATGCATTTCATTTCTACCCACTCTTTTCCTGATGTAGATTCTGGAAGACAGTTGGAAATCCAGGATGCAGTTCATTCATATAAAATGATAATAGGACGTAACCAAAGTCACTCAGAGTTACTTATAGAAATAAGTAATAAAATAAAAAACCAAGCTGGCGAAGTGCTAAAGAAGCCACAAGAAACAGAAAAGAGGAAATCACAGCTCAGATGTAAAAACGAAGAACAGCAACTAGAACTCATTGATGTGGGGTATGAGTATTTACATTAAAGAAGTGTGAACAGTTAGGGCAGACTACAGATTTTTAGGGAAAATTTTAAGTGCTACATTACCCTATGGACATCTTTCATGTTTATCATTTTGAGAAACATCTATTAAGTTCATTAGCCCATTTGTTGGTTGAATAATCTCAGGGTTAGTATTTAATTTTAGAATTATATTGGAATATAGGATTGTGTCCTCTGCAAATGGGTATTTTGATATCTTCCTTTCCTGTTTTCAACCCTTTAAATTATTTTTCTTGTCTTACTTCTCTGGCTAAATGTGTGTGTGTGCATGTGCATGTGTGTGCATGCGTGTGTGTGTGTGTGTGTGTGTATGTGTGTGTGTGTATGCATGTACATGTATATGTGTGTATATGAATATACATATATATAATTTTAATTTGTATAGCACATAGTGCCTTTGAAGAAGCAATTGGGTTGTTTTTCCATGCTGTTTTTCTCTTAAGCAGCAATGAGAAGCTTCATTTTTCTATTAATTCTAAAAGCTCAATATTAGTATTCAAGAAAGACCATATTTTAGCAACAGCAAAAAAGGTATATGTAATTTTCAACTTTTCACTTTGCTGAATAATTTAAAATATACTTTTCTATAGTCACAGAATTGCTAGTGACAGGGACTGGTCAATTCCCTGAATAGTCCTTAATTATACTCTTTCTAGTTTATATGTCCTTTGGAGAGACTGAATTCTGAAAATAGAGATAACATTGTAAAGGAAAGTATCTGACAATATAAAATACTATACAGTAATAAACTTACTTTTCACCAAAATAAATTTTAATGCCAGCCTGTTCAATTTGCAGATTGGCTGGAAAACAAGAAGCACAACAAAGAAATCCTCATTCTCTCTATGAAAAAATTAAGAAGCAATTAAGTGAAAAAGAAGAGCAATATAAAAAAGAAAAACAACAACTTGAAACGCACCTTGGAGCACAAGATATGGAACTCAGGCATCTCAGAAATGATATAAATAAGGTAAATTCACTGTTTAATATAGGGAATCCTGTTTTGCTTAAGGATAAGAACATGAACAGGGAAATAGAGGGCTGGGAATTTTCAGCAATGTACAAGCATTGTAAGTCTGTGTTTGCATGAATTTGGGGTGTCTACTGCACCATTAATCCAGACCCTCTCCTATGGGCTCTGCTGTGCATACCGGCCACTCTGAGCAAAACATTGATGTGTGCCATGAAAGTGTACTGTATTGGTTTAACTTCATGTCCCTTGAAAACTAAATTCAGAGATTTTCATAATTACTTATTAGAAATCTTGGCCCTCAAGTTATGATTAATATATGTTTTCCAAGTGAAGGAATGGCAAGTCAGTTGGGTTTAATCCACATAAATGTTACTTTAAGTATTTTTATTGAAATATGTCCTATCTAGATTTTAAAAGTTTTCTGAAAAAAAAAAATTGTCACCAAGCATGTTTGCCTACACCAAAGAACTGTGAGAACTTTGTTTTGTTTTTATTATGTTTTCCCTAGTCTTTGCTAATTTCATGTGTATGCAATGTATTTTGATATCTGTCCTCATCCCTCTTTCCAACTCTCCCTAAACGTATGTTCCTCCAAATATCATATGCTTTTAGAGTTAAAGATTTATTATATTTCTGTGTTTGTGTGTCTATGTGTGTGTCTTTGTGTGCATGTGTGTGTGTGTGTGTGTGTGTGTGTGTGTGTGTGTGTGTGTGTATCCACATTTGCATGTGGGTGACTTCAGAAATCAGAAAGGATGATAAGATCCCTTGGAGCTTAGTTACAGAGTGTCGTAAGCCACCTGACTTGTGTTCTGGGAAGCAAACTCAGGTCCTCTAGAAGAAAGGCAAGTGCTCTTAACTGCTGCGCCATCTCTCTACTCCCCATGTCTTTATTATTATTATTGTTGTTGTTGTTGTTGCTGTTGTTATCACACTTAATCCAATTGCCGCTGCTCACATGTGCAAGGGAGTGAGGCTATTCACTGAAGCGTGAGCAATCTACTACCGAGTGCTACTGAAAGATAGTGAGCTGTACGTTATTGTGAGTGAAAGTGATGAAATTCTGGGATTTACACAAGGTCGCACACTCTCATTCCTGTCCCTCTCAATGGTGTGAAACATGATACAGTGCAGCAGCCATGTGTAAGACCCCTTCCCTTCTCACATATTCTACCGAAAATACCAAATTCTGTTAGAATATCTAATGTAACCATGATTCTAAAGCTAGTAGCCAAGGTGGGCAGTTTCTGGTGTGTCCACAGCCCTCTGAATTTTTTACATAGTTTCCTCATTCAGTCTTCACTGGAGTCCATTGAGATAGATATTACTATTTTTATTTTACAGATGAAGAAATTGAAGTATATCAAATTAACTTCCTCTAAATACATGGCCAGTAATTGCAGACCTACACACTCAGGCATTTTATCTGTGCAGACACTGCCTCTTACATGCTTCCATGAAGCATTAGTTACCCAGTGGGAGACTGATATATTTCACTGGTCCAGCTTTGCCAATCATATGCATGAAATTTTCAAATTACAGTCAATGAAGAAGTGTTTTGAATATAAAAATAGAAATGCTTACCATAATAACATCTTCTGATTTTCCCCATGATGCCAACTTTGTCAATTTGGATTTCTGAAAATTATTTCAAATGCTGACTGTGATACTATATAGTTTGACTGCAGAACTTGGGAAGTGGACACCAGAAGAATCATGAGTTTATTGTCTGCTTGGAGTACATAGAGAGACACTATCTAAAAAAAAAAAAATCAAATTAGGATAATGTGTTTCAGTCTAAGACCAGGGTCAACAAGCTTTCACTTGAGAGACTGGTTTTGTGAGCCGTGAGGTTCCTGTTGCAACAGTTCACTCCACTCTGAGGAAGAGCATAAAGGGAGCATCTTCCTGTAGAAATTCAGCATATGGACGGTTGATGAGCGGGATTGTCCCTGAGTAGTCACATGTCCTGTCTTTTCTCTTTCTGTTAGCTGCAAGAAGCACGGAATCAAGAGGCCAAGGCTGAAGACAGTGATGGGATGAGGAAGGGACACCTGCAAAAGTACGGCTTAAAGTAGCACATAAAAAAGTTTTAATACACACAAGCCATGCAATAGTGGAAATACAACCCGTATGATACGTGTATCAGTTTAGGGTCTCTTCTCCCATGCTTTATTTGCAGTATGTATTTGGGGTTTTGAAAGTGGCTCAGAATCACAGGATGTGAAATGTATAAGCTTAACTCCTGAGGTTCAATCTCCAAAAAAACAAATTAAAAAGAACTAAGGACTAATTGCTCACACCACATCTCCATTCTTCATATTAACTATGAAACCCAGACAGAAATAAGATGCATTTACCAAATCACCTGCCTTTCAAATATTTCATCAGAAATACATATAATCAGATCCAGATTCAAATGCTTCTTACATTTTTGATAATTTTTTGATTAATCTCAGAGTAATTGATGGAAATATACCTTTCAGGGTAGAACAAGAAATTTTCAAGTTAAAAGAAACCATCAAAAAGCAAGCAGAGACATTAGAACAACTTGAGAAAAAACTACTAAGTAAAGATAAAAGTTTGGTAAGAACTGACAGTCTGGTAAGTTCACCTTTTATTAATTTCTACTCTGCTGAACTGGAAATTGTCTTTCTCTAGTTGTTGGGTGTAGGAATATTGTAGACAAAAGTAGAATTCTGATGGATAAAACTGTTTGTTGTATTCATGTGTTCATATTGTTACCATTGTAATTTTAAACTAGTTGACCAAATCCATATAGTTAACTATGTTGATAGTAATATGTTAATAGAAAAGATTGCAGTTGTTTTAAACCAAATTTTTAAATATGCAATATTTCATTATGTTCCTTTAATGATAAGCACTCAGATTTTTTTTTTACATTTTGTTCATTCTGACAAAAATAGTGCTGGAAATTGGTGTGCAGACACCTGTTTGAGTAATGTTATATTTTACAAATCTTTCAATCTTTCAAGAAATTTAACACTTTGTACATTCCTGAATTTATCTTGGAATCTGAACCTGTCAGTCAGTTTTTAGAACTAATTATAACAATTTTTGAGACTTTATGATAGTAATAATTATTTATAGTTCTTTCCCAAGAAATGTGTTTCTCCCTTTGGAATCTCACAAAAGGAATTAAAAACTGTTGAAATGGAGAAACAGCTGCTTGGACAAAGGAATGTAATAGAACAGAATCCCTTAGTGTTAGAGGTTTGGAAAAGATTTTTTAGTTTACCCTTGTTCACTAGCTTTTCAAGGACTTTAGAGTCCAACCTTGGCATGCATTGGTCTATATAATTCTTGGATGCTAATTTATAAATGTCTAATGAAAGATACATAACTATCCATATAAAAGCAGAATTCTGCCATTTATACGTTTGTTTATGGAAATGGACACCACTATGAAAATACTCCACTATGGAAACTCCTTCAATGCAGTGGGGTCATTGCATCCATGAGTTGGTCTTCCAAGATGGTGATAACTGTTGGTTCCTGCAGTTCTGTTTAACAGTCTCCTCTCAGGGAAGGTGGGGCCTTTGTTGACTGAACTTTCTTGTGGCTGCAGAAGCACCATTGGTTATCGAGACTCGGAAGTCTTTGAGGCAACTTGTGGGATATGTAAAGCATTGTGGTTTGGCATGCCGCTCTTTCCATATGATCAAGTGTAATACAAAGAAAGGAGAGTTCTGTACAAGTCCCTCAGACTTGAGGTTAAATCTTGTAATCATTTCATCATTTCTTTCATCAAAATCATTTCAACATCCTTTTTCATTTACTTACCAAGGGAAGGAAAATATGGAATTACATGTTAATTAACAAATATTCAAATCTCCTTCAGACTAAAGCAACTGAAATCAGATGTGCACACACACACAATAATGAATCAATATTTTGTAATTTTGGTCAGATACAGTAAACAAGGAATAATTTTACAGCCTACCATTTTTCACACATTTAACTTTCAGGAAAATTACTGACTAGAACTACAGAAATGTAATTCACTGAAATTTATATTACAGTTATTTAAATGTACAACTTCTCAACCCTTTTAATTTTTTTCCAGATACAAGCAGGTCAAGAATTTTTTACCAATTTCAGAGAAATTTATACTACTTCAGTAATGAACCAGCTGGAACTCAGAATCCAAAGTCTGGAAAGCAAGATCTCTGAAATGAAGATTCAAACATGTGATGATGTAATAGTGCTGGAAAACTATAACAAACTTCATCAATCACATAAACTGAGACAGTGAGTCAAGACAAAGAATTATGTAGATTAGTAATTTAGCTCCGCAATCATCTGTCACGAAAGTATATTTTAACAAAATGACATTATATATTTAAAGACTAACTAGAAAATACAGTCCTGGAAAACAACAATGACAAATGAACTGAGTTGTAGGAAGCTAATCAGGATGACATTTCCCTTTTATATACTGGTGTGTTCTCTCTTAGTATTCTCATATTTATCCTGGTTTCTTAGATTTTTTTCAATAAATTTGTTGATGCTTTTTTATTAATATACTTATATTGCTACAAATTTGCTTGTCCACATTCCCAGAGATATAAGTGTTGAATGAACACTTGAGTGTTTTCTAGAATGTTGTAGCATTAACTCTCAGTGCCAAGGACAGCTGGCACTCCCCCTTCTGGATATTGTTTACTACTAGGCAACTGACCTTGACTCTGACCCTGAGCATTCCCACTAGAGAAAAACCTAGACACAAACAGTTCTTTTGAACACTTATACTCTTCATAAAGGCACACTCACAGCATAGGAAAATATTAACATGGCATGAAATATTTCATACAGTGCTTCCAAATAATTCCTTCTTCAATGTGTAGTGCTGTGTGGGAGACAGATCAGCCAAGGTCTATGTCTGACCAGTTGGTTAGGGGAAAAATGAAAGACTACTGGCCTCCCATTCTTCACAGGACTGAAGCCCAGCTGAAGGAGGTCACTGCCCAGTTCCTCATGCTGATTCAACACAACATGTCATTACTAAACATGCTAAGCTCCATACTTGCCTCGGAGTGTTGCTGTGTCGCAAGTTTTCAGAGCAGTTTGGGAAGTCTCTTTACCCAAGAGAACATGGTGACTCCCACTTCAGGCCCACAATCTTCAAAGCACCACATAACAGCCAACCTGGGTGTGGTTAGTATTTCTATAATTTTTATCCTCTGAGTAATATGATTTTTGATGTGCAAACTACTGAATTATTTAGTTTTTTAAATACTTTTAAAATTTCATTCCTGTTTATTTAGTATTTTGGAGGGATGAACAGCAGGCAGGTTGAGGCCAGAGGACAGCTTGGGTATGTTCATTGTCTCTTCCAAATATGTGTTCCCTAATGCTTAGAACTGAGTTCGTCAGGTTTGGTCAAAGATGCTTTGACCTGCAGAACCCTAACCCTGGTCCTGTTCTGCATCTCTCCAGTATTGGTTGATAGAAAATGCAAACCCCTGTGTGGATGTGTGATGTTAGTAATGGTGTTTTCACTTAGAGTCAGTTACACCTAAAACACATAATCAGAAGCAGGCACTTCCTGAAAGTGAAATGTTTCTGGGGCATCCTCAGATGCAGGCACAACCAGAAACCAAATGCAACCACAACCATAAAAACAATTATTAACAGGCATAAGCTAAAAAAAAGTTGTGTTTGTTATATAAATTTCAGCCATATAAAAGGGTGAAAACGTCAATCAAATTGAGTTGCTTTAGAAAAAGTCCCCTGCTTTCTTTCACTTGTATGTCTGTCAGCATGCTATTACAACATCTAGAGAATCTGCCTAGCTTGGTGAACCTGTGAGAAACAACAGGTCCCAGAAAGAACAAGTTCTGTATTTTTAAAAACTAACTTCCCACCTTTTCAAAGTCTGCAGATGGCAATGAAGATTTCAATAAAGAGCTCATCAAGTTAGTTCTGTGTCCACAGCCTGAGCTGGATCACACAGAGAAGAAACGCATGGAACTAGCTAAAGAGAAAACTCTGTAAGATTTTAGTATTTCATATCTGTTTCAGCATTCACTCTTTGTTTTTGCTATACTTGTACAAAAATCAAAGTAGGAATTCATCTTATATTTGCATTTTCTTACCTAAATTATAGCAGTTAAAATTTACCTCAGAAATGCTAAACAAAATTGTCCCTTATATCGTACAGAGTATGCCAAAAAGATTTTCCATAGACCACACTCACAGACATATTCACAGTCACCACAGGTAGGCTCACACACATAGATGCCCCTTTGTCCTCTGGATTAGGAATCAACATCACCACAATAACATGCTGTTTCCTGAGACTGTAGGAACTGGTATAACTCTCCACTTGTCCAGCAGTTTGCTTTTCTGCAAGCTGTAATTAGGCTCTGGGATTTGGTGGGCACTCTACATAAAAAGCAATCAAGAATGTCCAACCTTTTTCCAAATTTAGATTTCTTCTTAGCAAGTAAGTAGATGAGCAGACCTAGAGTTTGCTGTGCCCCTGAGTCCATTTTCAATTAGACACCGGACAGCACTGTAAGGGCCACATCATGTTGCGCCCCATCTCTATGGATGTTTCCTTTACTCTGACAACATCTGAAAACTAGAAAATAGGCTTAGGAAAAAAAGAGAGGAGAACATTCTTTGCCCAGAAGAATACAATGATGATAGGCATGGAATGGTTTTCACATACATACCATCTTACCCATCCCTTGGCATTGGGAGGGGATTGATTGAGAACACCTGGCAGAAACCCAAATCCATGTACATTGCTTTTTGTCATGTTTCTAATCAATTGCCTGATAAAAGCAACTTAAAGGAGGAAGATTTTTATTCTCCAACAGAATCTGAATCAATAGTTCCCATCTTGGCAAAGAAGGCATGGTGGAGGGTAGTGCTTGCCCACTTTGTTCACATCCCCATAGACCAAGAACCAGAAAGACCCAGAAGCGGCATGAGAGTATGACCCTCTAGCACTTCCCCCATGGGCTTACATGTCAAGCCAGGTCCCATGTTCTCAGGAACCACAGTCTCTCCAATCAGCAGCACTAGATACAGACCAAGCCTTCACTCTCATGAGTCTGCAGGCATATTATATTGCCTTCCAAATCACAACACTATGTATATTCAAGTCACTTATACAAAATGACATGCTATTTATACATAACATAGTCATGCCTACCAATAATTTTGTCATCTGTAGGTTATTTTTTTTCTTACTAAGTTTAAAAATATTCTTTGTTTTTTCCCTTTTATTGAAAATAGATTCTTGTAGCATGAATCTTAAAAATCTTATTAATAAAACAAACCCGGAGCCAGGTATTAGGGTGAACACTGAAAGATTAGAGAAACAGAACCAGCCACAGCTAACCTCACCTCGCCAATTTCTCAGCTGACCTCATTTCCTCAAACTGGAAGCCTCTGTGTCCTCATCCGAATGGATCTCAGCTGAACTGCTGCTCAGAAGCCTAAAAGCTTAACCAACTTCTAGTTCCTGGTCCTCACGCCTTATATACCTTTTTGCTCCCTGCCATCACTTTCTGGGATTAAAGGCGTGTGTCACCATGCCTGGCTGTTTCCAGTATGGCTTTGAACTCATAGAGATCCAGATGGATCTGATCTCTGCCTCTGGAATGCTAGGATTAAAGGCATGTGCTACCACTGCCTAACCTCTATGTTTAATATTATGGCTGTTCTGTTCTCTGACCCCCAGATAAGTTTATCGGGGTGCACAATATATCAACCACAGATTCTTTTCTTCTACAATATATCCTGATTACAGTTTCCCCTCCCTCTACCCTTCCCAGTTCCTCCCCGCCTCTCTTGCCATCTGGATCCACTCCCTTTCTGTCTCTCATTAGAAAAGAACAGGCTTCTAAGAGATAACAAGCAAACATAACAAAATAAAATAGAGCAAGATAAAATAAAAACGATTGCATCAAAATTGTATAAAGCAAACCAAGAGATAGAAAAGAGCCCAAGAACAGGCACAAGAATCAGAGACCCACTCATTCACACACTCAGGGGTTCCATAAAAATAATAAACTGAAGACTATAATATATACTTAGAGGACCTGTTACAGACCCATGTAGGCCCTGTGCATGATGCTTCTGTCTCTGTGAGTTCATATGAACTTTGCTCAGTTGATTTAGAGGGACTCGTTCACCTGGTATCCTCCATCCCCTCTGGCCCTTACACTTTTTCTACCTCCTCCTCCACAGGGTTCCCTAAGCCCTGAGAAGAGGAATCTGATGGAGACATCCCATTTAGAGCTGTGTGTTGCAAGGTCCCTCTCTGTGTGTGATGTCTGGCTGTGGGTCTCTGCATTTGTTCCCATCTGTTGCAGGAGTAAATTCCTCTGATGATGGCTGAATAAGGCACTGATCTAAGAGTATAGCGGACTGTCATTAGGCATCATTTTATCACTTTTTATAAAAGGCCAGTAGTATTTGGTTTTACCATAGTTCTCTGGGCTATCTAGTCTCTGGGTCTTGGTCACCTAAGTAGTGTTAGATATGCATTCCATCTGGTAAAGTAGTCCATCAGTCAAGATATTGGTTGGTTACTCCCATAGGCTTTGGGCCACCATTACCCTAGCATATTTTGCAGACAGGACAGCATTGCAGATCAAAGATTTTGTGACTGGGTTGGTGTTTAAGTTTTTCTTTAGTAGCCTAGAAAGTACCTTCCCATTAAAAAGGAACTAGAATGTAGGGGTGAAGTTCTATATAGGTACCCGGTCGAACACTCCATGTTCAGTGAGTTGTGTGGGTGTTTTCTTCAGCAATAAGGTTTTGCTGTCAGTTTGTGGAGTGCAACCTGTTTTAATACCATATATAATTCAAGTTGAAAGCAGAAATCATTGTACTAAATTCATTGACTACAGAGTGGAAATAAGATCTGTCTCAGTACATATTCAGTATTTTCCAATAGTTCCTTTGAGACCTCTTGGATTTCTTGGTTATAAACCCATAAATAAGGAAGTCTGACAGTACACACACAGAGAAAGAGAGAGAGAATATGTATGTTTTATACATACATACATATATATATATACATATATATATTCAATTTTTATCCGTGTGTATGTGTGAAGGTCGAAGAACCATATCATGATGTCAGTTCTCATCTTCTCCCTTTTGTGGATTCTGGGGACTGAATTTAGGTTATGAGACTCACACAGAGAGTCCTATATTTTCTCATTCATTATTCGGGCTCAATGTGAGCTATTTATATGCTGTGTGTGTCTTAATAATTTCCTTCATATTATTTACTTGAGGTTGTAATTTGTAAATGCTTTCCAATAAAGTTAGTTTGAAACAAATGAGACTCAATGTACATACTTTGCAAATGTTTACTTCTTTGAAGCTATCACTAACTCAGTCTTTACATTCTTATAGAAGCAAAAAGTGTTTCAAATGGACAAAAACGTCAGCTGAGCGTCAAAATGGAGAGCAGAGTTACTCTGATGTTTCGAACACCAGGCAATTTGAAAAGGATAGTCCAATTGATTTACCAAGACATGAGGTACTTTTCCAGGACTTGGGGGACCCAAAAAAGTCAGTTTGGTAAATAAACCTCTCAATACTTTAACAGTAAGTGAAAAGTTTTAAAAATGCTACCAGCTTGATATCAATAAAAAAAAGTTGTCAGTTTCCCATTCAAAGAAGAAACAATTGATTCTCTCTTGCCTCAAAGCACAGGTGATATCTAAAAACCAAGCAACAGGCATTGTATGACTGCCTCCATGCCACAAGGACGCTACCAAAGGGGATGGTTCAGCTGAGCAATAATGATGATATGGAAAATGAAATTCAGTCATGTGTAGAATTCCAATGTCTGTTATTTTGCCAGTCCCAAATAAAATTCAGTGATTATACTTTCCAGTCACATTCTGCACTGACAGTACTCTTCTATAATAGTTTAAAAAAAAACCCTCAGCCCTAAATGGAACATAGACACTGCACTCCTTTTTCCAAAGGCTCAGGGACCATTCCGGAGACTGCACAGAAAGAGTATGAGTTTGGAAGTGGTGGATAACTGACTGCAGGTATCACCATTTGTCAACTACATCTGAAACTGTACTTGTCTCTCTTTCCATTATCCTGTACTTCCTAATTTTCTTTTTTAAAAAAAATTAAACACATTTACAGAGTCATAAGAATTTGAATTGAAAGGACATGACATAATCTTCTTGCTCAATAGTATGGCCTTTTCTAAAGGAGACTAAATTCTCTGAAGTTCTACACTGGCTCATTTCAGATTTATCATCTGACAATTTATTTCTCAATTATCCAAAATTTAGTGAGTTAAACAACATTATTATGTTCCCAAATCTACAGATTGGGAAAATCTTGATAAGGAAGGGTCATCTCTTCTCCTGTGACATTCAGGTGGGACAGACTGAAAGGGTAGGGCGATGGAGTCCTATGGAGTGTTATTCCCTGATGTGTCGGCTTGCTTTGGATATTGTTACTCGGTGCTGGCAGGCTCTTCATTTTCAGCAGGGTGGTGGAACACTCATGTGGGAACACCTGGGCTTTCCTTGTAGACTAACGTCCTTACAACATGGTGATGAGATTGATACAAAGCACTTTCTAAACTGTCATAGGAAGTCACGGTCATGAATTTATCAGAGTCTGTTCATTAGAAGCATGTTTAAGGTTTTCCTATATTCGATCATTTGTGAAATGAATATTAAAGAGTAACAGGTTCTCAATTTTTATATTATGTCCTAAAGAGTTATACAGTCTAACTACTGAGAATTAGTCTGATTTTTACACAACTTCTATCAAATAATCATTATTATGGATGAAGCCAACTTTAATTTACAAATTTAAAACCATTCCTCTTCACTGTGAGGGTTGTGTGGAAGACAGAGAGGACAGGTCACAGTGTGGCGACTTGGTTGGGATGGAAGGAGCTCGCTCTCTAAGGAAATGCTTCAGTTCATTTGACCCCAGCTGTTAGCAGTTCCTCCCAGAGGGGATTCTTCTCACTCACTCCTCTGCCAGTTCTCTTGGAGCTGCTGTATAACAGACGATTCCCTTTCCCATGGCTCTTGCATTTTTCTCCATTGACCTTTACAACCTTCATGTCAGCCTTTCTGAAGCATTTATGATTTTATATTCTAGGTCCAGAGAATAACATACTCTGAAAATGATTTTAATTTCAATTATTCTCTCTTCATATTTTTAAAACATTGTGTACTTTTTTTCAAAAATATCTAACTCCATGGCAATAACATAAGAGTGATTCAGAGATCAGCTTGCAGGTCAGAAATATAGGACTTACCACGAATGACTCAGAATTCAACACCGCACACAGACACAAATATGCACATATAAGCCTACATCTGCTTTATTTATGTTTTTAGTTCACATCAAATGTAGACAACATTGTCGATAAGTACTTTAAGGCTACCTTTTTCACACATTCAACATTCAAAATCATTGACTTGAAACTACAGGAACCAAACACATACGTTTATTGTTATCACAATTTTAAATACATATTTTTTAAATCTCTTTCAGATAAGAGAAGAAAATCAACAAACTTTTGATGACATAATAGGAAATCGTAAAGCTTTATGCATAAGGCCACAGAAATCCACACTTACAAACCTGCAGTCAAAATACCCAGAAGAATTAACTCATCACACCTCATATAAAACTGAACCAAAACAATATGAGGATCCTTATCTAGAAATGGTAAAAATGACAAAGTCATTATCTCGTAAACAACTAAAGTAAGTTAAAATATATATATATATATACATATATTTGTATAGATGTTATATATAATTATGTATTTATATATAAGATTATAGATTATATTTATATGTGTTGTATATAAATTATTTAAATATACATATTTATATAATATACATTTTATATGTATAATATACATGGGGAAAAGAAAGCAAATGTCAATAATTTGTATATGAAGAATAATTATCAGTGAAAGACATCATTAGTTTTTAATAATGTGAAATCAAGCTAGACATTATAATTATGGAATATAATGTGTGTAAATGAGCTAGTTTTCGAAACATTTGCCCAAAGTGGTTTCTATTTTCCAAGTTTGATTGGTGGGGCACTTTCCCCCACAGTATCCTTACCCTGTATCTTTTATATAATTACACAATCTAAAGTTGTAGATCTGAACACCCATGAATTTTTAAATTAATAGTTTAACTATTGTTTGAGTATGATACTTAAGCTCGGGGGTCAAGCAGGGCTAGTGCTACCCCCCTGGGCCAATTCCAGCACTGTGTAAACTGACTTTCAGCTCTGTTCCCGGTGTTACCACTGCAGGGCTTGGAGAGCTGGTCCTCCTAAGTTTTTCTGTGCTGTATAAACTCATGAGGAGAAGGCTAACACGAAGGTGAAGATAAGCAGAATTTAAAAGTGGTTAAAACAGTTCCTTGTTCGTTGGGAGGGATTTGTGGCCCTGTCCATCATGACACGGGATGAACGGTCTCAGAAGCTGCTTTACTTCCTTTTGGCTCCTGTTACAGTCAAGGAAATTATCAAAGACACCATCTCACACAGACTCTTGGCAGATACCAAAACACCATCAAAAATCTTACATGAGAGCCCATCCAGGAGACAGCCGCTTAACCTGCTAAGCCACACATCAGCGACAGCCATTTTCCTGCCCCGTGCATTGTCTGATTTTCTTTTTAGTTTGGAACCTGGAAACACAATTATTTCCAGTTCAATTTTAAGTCATAACTGTACACATTACTCATCTAACATATTTACGGTGTTCAGACATTGTTGGATGGGGAAATTCATTTACTCTTTTGCCGTTTTTAGGGAGTCCTTCACGGGAACATGGGATGCTCATGTTTTCCCTTGTGATCTTCACAGGTCTAAGGACAGGCGAGATGAGGCCATGAGGAATAACTTTGAGAAAATGAAGCTTTATGGTTCTGCACTGAACATGTACGCAACGAGCCCTGCTCCGGGGTTTGCGGCTGGCCATCCCCGCAACAGTCGGAAACGCAGCGGAAGCTTCATTCAAGAAGAACCATTGGTCCCAGGCTCCAGGCCACTGCACTTTGTGGAGAGTCTGGGCAGCTATCTGGGCAGGGTCAGCTGCGCTATACTTTTCGATTATGGTTTCAGACGTCTGTTATAATTCTTATTTTTAATTTGGTGATAAATTAATCTCACAATTTTGTGTTAATATGGAAGAAAACCAATTTGATACATTTTTAAATCCTCGGAGCTTTCACTTTCAGCCATAACCTTTTCTTAATTTTGGTCAATAGGTGTAAATACTAAAACATACTGAACTTTCTTTAAAAGCTATATCGAAGCTTTTAGAAGCTAGAATTTTTTTTTTCTGTAGTTACAGGCAGACTTTGAAAAGGATTGGCTGAACTCCGGGAGGCAGAGGCAGGTGGATCTCTGTGAGTTCAAGGACAGCCTGGTCTCCAAAGCGAGTTCCAGGAAAGGTGCAAAGCTACACAGAGAAACCCTGTCTCTAAAAAAAAAAAAAAAATCCTCCATTCCTCCAGCACCCTCCGCTGTCCACATCTTCTGACATCTAAACATCACTCTTAGGTGGATGCTTCAAATATAAAGAAATCTAAGAGGAATATAATTTTCATGAAGGGTCTATACCTTCAAAATCAAAGAAGATTAAGAATATACCCTTAATTTATGTTTCAATTGCCTCATGATGATTTCAATTTTGATTCAATGTGATTATTGCTGCACACTCTTTATTATCATTAAGGTTGTTTCCTTAAGACTGATATGATGTTTCAAAGTGCAGTTCATTAAGCTTTTGGACCTTGCTCTCACAAGAGGGCTTGGAAGCTAAGATTACAGCTATCCAATGCCTTTCAATTGCTACTTCCTTAAAGATAAGAATTCTGAAAAAAAAAAAAGAATTCTATTTCTCCTCTCCGCAATCTCATGTGAGATTCCACGCTATCTTCATATTCTTTGGAGTTGTAAGAAGAACATTTTTCATCTAAACACATGGAAAGCTTTTTTAAGATTACAATTTATTTTTTTTTAATTTTTTCCAATTATTCACTGCTACAAACATTGGAATTGTTATTTTAAGGATTTATTAATTGTTATTTAACATTCATCAGAATTTCTTTGATTAAAGTTTCAATAATCGTCCTTATCTATGTATCAAAGATGATTGCAACCATCACACATCACATCACTTGCACCGTATGTAAGGAAACACAATGCTTGACTTGTTTCCAGATGAATCTCTACTACTGGAACAATTTTTGGTCTAGGGTGATTTGTAAAAGCAAAATATTCATTTGTAGAAAATACAAAAAGTAGTTTTTTACTATGTATATGCTGTTATTGAAACACCCATTCAACCAATAAAATGATCCCTATTTTTCAGGATCTTCTCAATATCAGAAAGTATCTTAGATTCATATTAACTAGGGCCTCAACTCTCTCACCCAGCAGGCATCTTTAAAAATGATAGAAGAGAAAAAAGTTTAAAATTTCCTGATAAAGTTGGCAACCAAGTCTATTAGAAGGGGGAAAAATAAACAAATCCCAAGCAGATGGAAATTCTTTTTCATTGTTTTGGTGCCAGCACCAGGAAATGAAACTTGATGACTGTGTGGGATGACGGCGCCAATTCAGTGCGCAGGACTTGTGGCTCCCGTCCTGACCGATTCTTATCGCAACAGAAAAGAATTTCAGGATTAGTCAGAAAGCCAGACCAAAATGAGCAACTCATTTGTTAATTGAGCAGAAAGGCTACACACTCAAGAGAGAAGATCAAAAGTTAGAAAAGGAACGTGCCCGAATGTCTCGGCCGTAACCATCACTGGGACTTCGAGGCTACTGAATTCAGCCCCTAGGTTTCGATATTAGGGAAAGCATGCGCTGCCAGACTGACTTTTCTTTCTTTTTAGTGTGTGGTTTAAATCACTCCCTCACTTTTCATAACTAAGTGAGTAAGTGTGATCAATCCAGTGGGAAGGTATCAAAATTACTGGTAAAGTGCTGATTGTTTCACCTGGAGAAAGTCACGAAGCAACAAAATTCAAGTTTCACTTGTGATTCTGGCTTGTATTTCTCCTACTATTCAAAGTAAATTTGTTGTCGAAATTTTTGGTCATAATCCAGATAGCATAATATTTTAAATATTTTTCCGTCAGTATAGTTTCATACGCCATTATGACAATAATAGTTTCTTCTTTTGCGTATTTAATGTTTTGAAAATTGGTCACAGAGCACGTTAAATTATTAATTATCTGAAGGCAGAAAACTGAATGTTTCTCTAAAGTAAAATCTATTAAAGTGAAAAAATCAGATTATATTTTTCTTTAAGGGAATTCTTTTGCTAAGAATTATAAAGTAATGCATTTGGAATAAAGTAAGAGTTAAGTGGATTAATCTCTCTACTGAAATGATGAAGCCACATCCCCGAAATGGTGTGTAAAAATAGGCAAATGTTAATTGCGGTTTTTACTCAATGTGACCTCAGCAACATTCCACATATAATCTACTCCTCTAAGCATATTTACATTTATCTGATCCAACTTAAGTGATGACTTTCAAACTATTCCCCAAGAACAGGAGGTCCCTACAAGTATTATTCAAAGGTCACACTTTTCCAGTTTTATATATTTTTAATTAGCATGCAAAGTATTAGGTCTCATTTTGGCATTTTCAAGCATAACTTATTTCTGGTGACAACTCTCCCACCCTGCCACCCTCCTTTTCTTTCTTTCTTTCTTTCTTTCTTTCTTTCTTTCTTTCTTTCTCTCTCTCTCTCTCTCTCTCTCTCTCTCTCTCTCT